TGAATAGATTTGGGTCTGTGATCTGGTAAAATTAATACTAGGGTCAGATTAAAGGGTTTAAATAGAACATTTAAGCAAAGGTGTTAGTTATAACAACTGGTAAGGAATCTTTGAGCAAATTTCTTAAATAGGTAATATAGAAAAGTTATATATGTAATTAGTTGTACACTTATCTGATAATTCAATATAGATACATTTATATAAAATATGTATTTACATAAATATTAATAAAAAGCTAGAACCAAAAAGATTATCTTAATACTGAAAAAAAAATAACTTTATTTAAAACTTAAATTTTGGTTTACTTAATAAAAAATTAACTTTTACTATAAATGAAATATTTTAATTAGATTTTAAAATTTATTATTTTTAGTTCTGTATAATGTTATACAATTTAATTATTTTAAAAAATATTGTATAGAATTTTATAATCTTTTTTTTATTTAAAAGCTTTAGATTTAATAAGTTTATTATATAATTTTTAGCCAGATATCTTTTTTAGTTAGCTTGTCATAAAATTTTAAAAAGTGTTCACAATAATATAATAGGTAGCTATAATATAATTGGCAGGTCATAAGGTATCTGTATAAGTATGATATTATATAAAAAAATACAAACTGATATTAGGTAATACAAACTTTAAATAAGTTCTTATGATTGTATAAATTTTTTTTTTTTTTTAGTATTAAGGTGACCTCTTTGGTCCTAGCTTTTTATTAATACTTATAGTGGATATATGTTTTATATAGACATATCTATAATGAACTATTAGACGAGTGTACAACTGGCTACATATGTAACTTTTCTATATTACCTATTTAAGAAGTCTGCCTGAGGGTTTTCCACCAGTTGCTGTACCTAACACTTCTGCTTAGGTGTTCCATTTAAACCCTCTAATCTAACCTTAGTATTAATTTCACCAGGTTACAGACTCAGATCTATTTGCATTCGACTATAGACTATAATTCTTAGACTATTTTTATTCTTAAGATAAATCTACCAGAGCGAGCCGTATTCCTTTTTATTACTAACTTGGTTTGACACTATGGCCAAGACCAACACTTGCAGTCAGGATTACCCTTTAAACTGCTATTACCCTTGTAAAGTTTACCCAAACCCTAGTATCCATCTTTCTGACTTCTTCTTTATCATCTCCTACTAGCTGCAACTTGGAACTAACTGATTCACCAAACTTCCAATCCAGATGGCCCGGTATGGTATATTTATGTATTCTTTTCCTCTGATGATTCTGGCAGCCTGATTGGTCATATGCTCCTTTATATATCTTTGTCATTCGGTTTACCTAATTAGTTCCTATAAAGGTGTTTCATAGGCTTTCATCAGTCCAATGGCACTATCGAAAGTTTGTGCTACTTCTTTACTCTGAATTTCCAAGTGAGTTTCTGTCTCTTTAGTTTCTTAGCCTTCTATGCCTGATGGTTTTATCGTAAGTTTGCCCAAAGCCTTATATGATATCAGTTTTATATTCCTCTATGTACATGTATCATGTAATATTATACTTCACATAGATGCTCCGAGCTCCTAATGTTAGATGGAATCCAATTTGGTGTATCTAAAATTACAGATTGTATAAATTTATTAAAATTAAGAAACAAAAAGTCTATTTAAAAAAACTTAATAAAAAAGTAACACAAATCTTTAATAATATTACTGTAAAAGTTAGTCTTAAAAAATAGATACTAATATTAAAGTATCTGAATGAATAAGAATCTCTAAGTGAAGGATACTGCCAACCAGACTACTAAAACAAACTAGAAAAAAAAGATATCAGGTTAATTTGATATACTAATAAACTAGTTGTAGTTTTATTAAACTATTTAAATTAAAAGTCTAAAAAACAGACAGAAATATATTAAAGTAATTTAATATGCTGTAAAATAGATATTAAAATCTGTATAAATTCTATAAGAACATAGTAGTTTAATAACTAGTTCTAACTACAAGTATTAATTTTACTATAGCAATACTGGATCAGTTATAAAAATAAGTAAATAAGATTCTAAAAAGTTTATTTTAAAGATAAAATAATCTTAAAATTAAGATAATAATCTGATTATAACCTAGTAATATTAATACAGATGCAGTTCAAAAAGTTTAAAATAAAATATCTAAGCAGAAGTACTAGGTATAATAATTAATAAAGAACTTTTAGACAGACTTCTTAAATAAATAATATAGAAAAGTTATATGTATAGCTAATTGTATATTTTTTTTATAATAGTTTATAGAATTAAATTATCAAAAAAGTTATTAATAAAAGTTAAAAAACTAAAGAGATTATCTTAATATTAAAAAAATATTATATAGTATAATATATATATATTTTTTTGTATTAAGATAACCTTTTTGGTCTTTTTATTTTTATTAATAACTTTTTTAATAATGTGATTTTATAAATCAATATAGAAAAAGTGTACAATTAGTTATACATATAACTTTTTTATATTATTTATTTAAGAAGTCTGCTTAAAGGTTTTTTACCAATTGCTATATCTAATATTTCTACTTAGATGTTTTATTTTAAATATTCCGAGCCTGTATTTGTATTAACATTATTAAGTTATGATTAAATCATTATTATATAATATAATATTAAAAACTTATAAATAATAAATTTGAAAATTTTTGTTTTTTTATTGTATATAATTATTTTTTATTTTAGACTCTTATATGTAATTATTTTTAATTTTTAATTCCTATATATAATTTTAGTATAAACAATTGTTTCTTATATATTAGCTAATTATAACTTATAAGATATAATTATAAATTGTATAATAATATTGATATTTAATTATGTAATAATAAATATTACAAAATTTGCTTTAACAAATTAAATTTTAATAATTTATAATTACAATATACAGAATTATAAAATTTTTTTTTGTTTTTATTAAGACTGATGTTTATAAAAATACTATTTTTATTATATTTTTAATTATAATTATATAACTTGTATAAGATAAATATACAACTAGTGGGATGTGGCAACCTAGTGAAGTGGTCAGGTTGTCAACCCTCCAAGTGGTAGATTGGGTGTTCAAATCCTATTAATGATAAAAATTTGGATAATCACTTATGCAATATTCATATTACAGCAACTGTTACTAACGATTGGGTTAGAATACCTGTAATGGCAGTCACACCAGCATAACTGGCAGGTCATGAGGCATCTGTGTAAGTATGGCATTATACAGAAAAATGCAAACTAACAAATCGGGTAGTGCAAATACTAGATAAGTTCTTGTGGCCATGTAAATCTATTGAAATTGGGTAACAAGAAGTCCATTTGGAAAGACCCAAGTAGAGAGGTAGCTGGATCTTCAATGGCCCTACTGTAAAGGCTAGCTCAGGGAAATGGATACCAAGATCATAGTACCCAATTGTAGTAGCTAAATAGGCAAGAACCTCCAGGTTGGAAGTCTCAAAAATACCACCAATCAGGCCATCAGAACAAACTAAAGGAAAAGGATATCGGGCTGATCTGATATACTAATAGACTGGTCATAGTTCTACATGGGCTATCTGGATTGAAAGTTTGGTAAAAAGGCTAGACAAAAGGTAGGGGTATACTAAAGTACTAGAGTTATGCTATGAAGTAGATGCTGAGGTCTAAGTAAACTCTATAAGGGCATAGTAGTTTAATGGTTAGCCCTGACTGCAAGTATTGGTTCTGTTATAGTGATACCTAGATCAGCATACAGAAGGCTCTGGGGGTTTACCTCAAGGATAAATTAGTCCTAAGGTTGAGAATGATGATCTGGTACATCTGAGATGACCAGTAATGTTAACACAAGTTACAGGTTCAGAAGGTTTAAAGTAAAACACCCAAGCAGGAGTGTTAGGTACAGCAATTGGTAGAAAACCTTTAGGCAAACTCCTTAAATAGGTAATATAGAAAAGTTATATGTGTAGCCAATTGTATACTCTCTTGTAGTAGTTCATTGAACCACAATACCAATAAGTGATTAATAAAAGTCAAAAGACCAAAGAGGTCACCTTAATACCAAAAAAAAAATATATATATACAACTAGTTATATATATATAACTTTTGGTTTTCTATTTAAGTAATCTGCTTACAACTTTTATACTAGTTGTTATATTTGTAATCTACTAAAAGATTATTTAATTAAATAATCTAATTCTTATATTATATTTAATAAATAATAAATTGATTCTTATATCTAACTGTCATCTAGGCAAATATTTGATTTTTCTTTCTATATATTCATTAAATTATCAAAATATGTTACCTAATTGTAAAACTCAGAATGTCTTTTTATTAACTAATTTATTTACTTTATAGATCATTAACAAAACTATATCTTTACAAAATTTATTCAGATTCTAGTCTCAATTTTATAATATATCTCTAATATTTAAATATATTCTTATTTTGTTATTTGATTTTTAATCCAGATAATCCAATAAGACTATAATCTATTATTAGTATATTGAATCTGATCTAATATTTTTTTTCTCCAATTTGAAACTTTTAATAATTTAGTTGATAATACTACTTATCTAGAAGTTCTTGACTATCTAATTGATTTATATTGATATCTGTTTTTTAAATCTAACCTTTATAATAATACTGTCAAAAATTCATATTACCTCTTTATTCAGATCTTCCTAAATAAGTTTTGATTTTTTCTAATTCTATAAATTTACACAATTACAAAAACTTATTTTGAGTTTGCATTATCTAATATTGGTTATCATCCTTTTGTATAACTAAAATTACACAAATGCCTTATGACCTGCTAGTTATACTGATGTGATCATAACTACAAATATTTTGTTCCAACTAATCAATAAAATGCCATTGCTGTAATATAAATATTACATAAGTAATTGTTAAAATTTTCACCATCAATAGGTTTTAAACTCACAACCTATCACTTGGAAAATTAACAGATTATTCACTTCACTAAGTCACCACACCTTTTAATTATAAAAAAACTGTTCCTACATCTTGTCAATTTCTAAATTTCACAACTAGTTCTTTGTTTAAGTTACTTGAAATCAATTAATTGGATCAAATAGTTAAATTCTATTTTAACTGGACCAGGATTTTAAATTGATTTTACAAAAATTTAATTTATGCACAGAAAATGAGCATGCTACATAATTAATAAATTGATAATAAAAAACAGCCAAAAAGTCTGAATCTTAAGTCTAATTAAAATTGAATTGCACCAATAAGCTATTTAAGTATTACCATAAATCCGCGAAATAACGAACATGAATTAGTTTAATTTAGGCTGAAGTTTGTAACTTCACCCTGCGCGTTATTTCGCGGATTTACGGTAATATTTTATGAAGTGGTTTTCTTTGCAAGCTATATTTATGTTTTTCCCTTAGATCCATTCACGTTATGCCTGGCAGTGTTTTTCTTGATAATTACACTCACTCATCATTGAATATATAAGCATATGGAATACTTTCAGAAACACGAATATATCCTCTGAACATTCCATCGGTATTGAAAGGCATGGCAACTTGATTAAAGAACATGCTATTAATATCTGTGAATATAAGAATCTAAATAATATTCATTATTAACTTACAATTTCCGTATTTATCCAATGCAATGACACCACCATAACCACCAACTTTTGACAAATTCTCGATGACCTTGGAGGTCGCGTCTTGCACACTTTCGTCAAGATATTTCATTCGCGCTGCCACATCATAGGCAACACTATGACGAATGAAAAACTACGTGAAAATTTTTAAGTAAATACGTTTGACACATATGGCATATAAAACATAAACAGATTTTTTTTTATTACTTCGCCGTTTCCAGTACCACTGACACCACACGTTTCATTATCAGCCCACGTTCCACATGCTATAAGTGGTGTATCACCGATACGACCATCTTTTTTATTATTGAATCCGCCTTAACGCGTTAAAACCAAAAAGTAATCATATATATTCAATTGCTATATCACATTATCTTTGAAATTTGAGGCGTAGTATTATATTTACAAACCCGTAGATGTGGCCGTAGAAATGATCCCATTTATATCAACCTTAAATTATGGTTTTATAATTAGGATGTAGTAATTACGTGGATTCTAAAATAAAATATACTACCGCAACAGCTCCAACTGTTCCTATCGGACTCGGGTCAGCTGCATCACATACATCACGTGAATCGCCATTATTGAGATTATTTATCATTCTTAAATTTTCAGGTTGCATCGGCTTTTTATTTTCTAATTCATCTAAATGTTGCTTCCATCTATGCTTTGTCCAAAAATAACCCGGATCTACTATTTCTAATCCTTTCGATTTTGCATACTTTTCGGCTTCAATTCCTCCAAGGAACACATGTGGATTTTCAGGATCCTGAAGAAGAGTTTTAGCTAGAATTATTGGATTTTTGATTGTACTGAGTAATGTACATGCACCAGCCGCGTGGGAGTCGACTCCTTGCATAATTGATGCCTCCAGTTCATTCTATTAATAAATTCTAATGATTTACGTCATTTATAATAAACGATTGAACATTATTAAATAATTTACCTTGCCACTTATAGTAAATACAGATCCTTTACCAGCATTGAAAAATGGACAATCTACAAAATGAACTCAATTTCAATACTTCCGTTGTATACCAAAATCAAATAATGCGGTGATATAAACCTTCCATAACTTTTACAGAAGCTACAACGGCGTCAATAGAACTTCCTCCTTCCTTCAATATTTCGTGCCCAGCTAAAAGTGCTTTTTTCAATGCATCAAGATATTCTTTTTGCTTGCTTTCTGGGAAATCCTTACGGTCTATTATTCCTGCACCACCATGAATCACTAATGTTGATCCATGATTTATTCTTTTATCTGCCTATATCACAGTGGTGCAATTCATTAATATTATATAAAATGGTAAACTTTGGTACTATTAATGAAGAGGTTCATTTACGACAAACAACCTCTTTTGACATATCTACTTAGTGTCTTGATGCTCGTTTTTTTCAATTGATGACGTATCAGGATAGCATTCATTCCTGATGTAAATCAATTTCCAACATTTTATTGGCTATTGATTTTGATTATCAGATCGATCTTGATAATAGAGAATTCGGTAATATACTAATGGACCCTTTAAAACTTTCGGGTACAAACTGATGATCTATAGTGGCTTAGCCAATTTAATAAAAAATTTTTTATTTTTTATACTCTTTAAAGTATTTTTTATTATTATGATTTTTTACAAGTATTTAATAAAGTTTGACAACCAAAATAAAGAAAATGAAAACTCTTTATATAACTTATATACTATTAAATTTAATCAAAAATAATTAAAATATTCCTGATTTTTTATTAGTGTTAACTTTTATAGAAAATAGAAAGTAAATTAGTTTAAGATTTAAGCAAGCAGTGTATTGTTTTTTTGGTTTTTTTTTAAAGAAAGGTTTATCTTCTATTTTTTTTATTAATTAGCTAATTTACATATATAAGATACATGTCAAATAAACTAAGCTAGAGAAGATGAAAGTAAAAGTTACTTTACTTTTAACTTATTTTTTGCTAAAATAGTCAGTAGACTTTTAATTTATAATAAGATGATTAAAAAAAGATTGTTTATAGATAATATACTAATCTATTTTTTTATTTAGTAAAGAAGATAAAATTGGTTTAGTTTTAGCTAGTACTAAGAGTTGTAATAGTAATAAAATTAGATAAAATAAATTATGTTATATTATTCTAAATAGGAATTAAAGTTCTTTATATTGTAATATGGTTGCTTAACCTAACTAGATTCTAAATATTTGTTTAATAAATATGTCGTCGCCAAAACTGTAATATGGTTGCTTAACCTAACTAGATTCTAAATATTTGTTTAATAAATATGTCGTCGCCAGT